GTGTACCCGACCTCTGCGTCAAGTATTCCTGCTTGGACACTGGGAATCCTGTCTAATGGCTACCATGCATCCAGCCATTGGACAAGTGCTTACCTTGAAATTATAACACCCTCCAAGAAATCATACCTTTAGGCCTCTGTAGCACAACCCAGATAGCTCAATATTGCTTTCACACACCAGAAATAATATGTTTTAAAAACTTTTTCTTCAGTGGCCATTTTGAGATACAGCCTCCATCCATCCACACATCTAGACAGACTGTGAAAGACTGAAAGACCAACAAAACAAAATTACAAAAGCACTGCAACAACTAATCATGCATAAGCGACTGGTGGAATCAGACATAACACTGTAACAAGCAACATGCCATTTATCAGAGCCTCTCATTTTCAAAACCAGCGTATCCTCAGGTCTTCTGAACTTTCCTTTTCTATCTTCCAATGACTTTGGTTTTACGCTTACATTTCCTTGTGTAAACACAGTAACATTCATCCTATTTTCTCTGAAAGCTGCTGCTGAGATATTAGAAAATACGGTTTTCATGTGGACAACAGTTTTGATTTGAAGTGTGTCACATTAGGGCTCATTTATGTTTTTAAGTAACATCAGAGCCACACTGGAATTGCTGTAGAGATTTTGGTACATGGTTTAACATGCCCAACAAACCCTGCTCTGTCAAGCAGAAGAAAATTCCCTTTTGCAAGGCCGCATTAAAATCACCTCCACAACACTTGTAAACAATGAACTGGCAACCTAACTGTCTGTCCATTTTATTGCTTCCACCTGCTGAAAGCAGCACAGCACATTACACTTTCACTTCAATATTAAAAATCAGTAACCAGATGCTTATGCAACAATGTCCACAAAAAAAAAAAAAAAAAAAAAAAAAAAAATCAGTCTTCATCAGCACTTAATCAGGACATAGGGCTGTTTAAGGGATATGTAATGGGATAGAGGACCTTCAGTTAAGAGTCCCCACCCTGAGTTCACGCCAGAGTTATCACTAATGAAATACTCTTGCCATACAAGACCCCAAGACCCAGACTGGGCTCTTTCCAATGTGAAACAGAGATGTGAACACAGACCACTTCTTCACAGGTGTCTCATGACAGGAATTCATCATCACAAGCAAGGTCATTTGGCAGCCCAAAGGTTGGAGTTGGCTGTCAAGGCAATTTTATCTGAGAAGGTACTGCAAATGGAAACCTAACTGCTGCTGTGTGTTTGCAGTGGGAATGCAGAGACAGAACAGGCCTGGTAGATCAGGTCTATGCTGTAGATCTAGCACTGAGCACACAAATATGTGATGATCTGCTCCCCAAATGCCTGGCAGAGAACAAGAGATCCCAAGTCCGCCAAAGTTATCCAACAATGCAGTCAGCATGGAAGTGAGCTTACCTAGCAGCTGAGCCTGAGTTGGCTTATTTTGTCCCAGAGGCTGCCCTGAGCAAAAGGGAGAGCACTGGCACTGCCAAACTGCTGGGAGGCAGCAGCCCTCTGGTGAGGGCCATACCGCATGGGGGACTGCACACGCTGAAATGGCAACAACCTAACCTATGTTCCATTTAGTGTGTTTAACTGACAACCTGAAATAAAAGTCATTTGTGGGAGTAAAGACAGAGAAAGGGTGGGAGGAAACCAGCTCTGCTTCTAGACAAGACTGTGTAAATTACAAGGTCTTAATTACATTAAGTGCATTATGGTACCATATGCACATCACTAATAAGGCAGAGATGGAGGAAATTGGACTAAATGCTAAAACTGGAAGTTGAATGCCTGCATTCTAGACTTCATCTTTTAGAGAGATTCTGAACCACTTTGTCCTAGTTTAGCCATCCATAAAACAAAGGCAATAATCCTTTCTTCACAGGGGCGTTGAGAGGTTTAATTAATTAATGTTTACAAAGTCCACTGAGATTTCTGACTGACATTTGAAATAATTCAGAATACTTTCTAAATGCATTTGTTTCTTCTACTGCACCACTCAAATGTCTTCATATTAAAATATCCAAAGCAGAAGAAGATAGAAACAAAAAATATGGAAATACACACACAAACTAGTGGGGGAAAAAAACAGCAACAACAACTTCAGCACTTCGAATCCACTTCTGTCCCATCAAAGCTGTCAGAATACTGCCATTTCTACAGATGAAGAAGCATGTGCTTGTCCAAACACCTGCTATCTTTACCTTGCAGATCTGTTAAACTTAGATATTTTGTCTATAGCACCATGCTGGTAAACAACAAGCTAATAAATGGCAGAAATAACAGGCAGTCATGTCAGGTTGACTGGTTCACGAGAGGAAGTGAAGGGGAGGAAAACAAAGGGAAGAAAGCACCAAAAGAGAACCAGAAAGTGACAGAGAAAGAGGCAAGTTGGGTAGGGAAAAACCAATCATTAATAAGGGACTCCACGCACTGAGCTGCTCTATGGAATGCATTCCCCCAGATGCTCAGGTACTGGAATACATTATTCAGAGAGACTAGTCTAGCATGAACAAGGCCACATGTGTGTCCAAGTGCCAGAGACAAACTGAATATTGGACACTCTTAAACGCACAAGAGCACACAAGGAGCTGCTTGATACCTGAGTCCGGATTTCTCAGTCCCTACATTGTCCCCCATTTCGGAGCAAAACCTTTGTGTGGCCGGTTTCTGTAGGGGGCGTTTGTGGGTTCTGAGATACAATCAAAACGCAGACAGAGGAAATGCAAATGTCATTCAGCTCCCGTTCATTGTCAGGAAGGACACATGAGGATAAAACACTGTGCACTGCATCCCTCCCCTATTATGTGTCCTACTGCTTTTGTCCTAATTTATCCCATGCATAATTTATTTACATGTGTATTGTTTCCCGATCAGCAACTTTAAAGAATAAGTGAAAATTATAAAATGTTTTATTAAACAAGTTGTCAACAAAATTACAGATGGTGTCAGACAGCCAGTACCAATTCTGCTTCCTCCACATAGCCTCAGTACTTTAAAAGGCACACAGAGAAAAGCGAAACCAGCACTTGATGTCTATTGTTTCCTCCTCTCACACCCCCCAGGGGCGAGGGGAGGAGAAGGGAGCTAATTATAAATGGCCTCATCCTGTCCTCCCCGACTTTCGCAGCGGCGGGATCGGGCCCCGATTCATTTCGGCACAAGCGGCCCTTCGGCAGGACCCGCCGCGGCTGCCGGGAGCCCCACGGTGCCACGAAGTGCGAGGCGAGGCGGCAAGGTCCCGTCCGGGCGGGGCGGGGGCCGCGGCCGCTCCTGGGAGCTCCCTGCCGTCCCCAGAGGCCACCGAGCCCGGGCTTCCCCGCTGCCGGCAGCAGCCGCGAACGGCGCACACGCCGCGGGGCTCCGTGCCCAGGTGCACAGCCGGGCGGTGCGGCCCCGGGTGCGCTGCCGGAGCCCGGGCAGCGCCCGGCGGCCGGGAGGGGCACGGGGAGAAATCGCTGTCGCCTGCACAAGCGTCAAACCTGCCGTCGAACGGGGGGGAAACGCTGCCTGTGCCGCGAGGTTTTCGGAGCGCGTTCGGTCCCTCGGCACCCACCCATGAGGACGCTCGCACTTCTCTGACTAACCCTCTGCAACTGAGCTCCCCTGTCCCCGCGGATTTTTATATCCGAGAAGGCGAGTAAATGAAAGCAAGGGTTTTTCTGCCAGGACGGAGCAGGAGAGCTGATAAACATGTCAGCACCCCTTCCCAGCTCGAGGCTTTCCTTTCGCTCCGGATCGCAGAGAGACAGCGGTAGAAATCCCAGGAAAAACCTTCAAGTGTTTTTCCAACTAAAGCCGGAGAGACTCGAGTCGGTAAAAAAAGAGAGAAAAAAAAAAGCCCTCGCAGCCCTAATTTCATCTCACAAAACTCAAAGGTATAAAAACACCCACTCAGCGCAGCCAGAAAGTGCAAGCGAAGCGTCACCGCCAGGTACTCTGCTTCCCTGCTTTACTAGCAAGAGCGCTGCCCCCGTTAGCAGGGAAGTCGTTTGAAAAAGGTTAAGATAGCTCCGCTCCCCACATACGGTGCCAAATCCCACTCTCCCTAATGCCTTCGGGGATTAGCGGCGTGCGCTGCAGACCACAAGGAAAATAAAGGACGCGATCCAGAAGACTACAACCGGCTCCCGCGGTGCCCCTCAGAAATCAGCCTTATTTCCAGATCGGGAACCCCGGAATACCTCCGCAGCACAAGTATCTGCCCCCTCCCTCTCTCAAACCGGGGTCAGACCCCGTCCGTACAGCCCTCGGCGGCTTGTGCCCGCTCTCAAGATGGAAACACAATCAACTCTCTTTGCCACTTTGAAAAGCGAAAGCCTGTCATATGCAAAACAGATCTCCGGACTTCCTGCCCAAAATCAGCGACCGGCAGTCCCGAGTCATTCATTTCACCCAAGTCTGCTTCCCTGCCTCGCCTCCTCGTTCCCTCTCCGGCACGAGCGCCGAGGCGCACCTGCAGAGTCCCCGCCGCCCCGCTTTCCGACCGCCCAGCCGAGAAGCGAGGGGGGTTGCTTCGTCAAGACATCCCAACTCCCCAAAGATTTGCGGAGGCAACTCCGAGCCGCGGTGAGAGCGCGGAGGCACCGCGCACCGAGCGCCCCCGCGGGCCGGTCCGTGCCCCGCCGGGCGCGGTGGCGGGGCCAGCCCGCCGGGGCAGCGGGGGCAGGACGCTGTCAAGTGCGCGCACCCCCGCGGGACGCGGCCGCCGCCGACCCCGCGCCGAGCCCCCGGAGCGCCGGGCAGGCTCCCCGCCGCCGCCTCCCGGCCCGCCGCCCCCGGCCCGCGCCCGGGCGCCAATTAACCCAACAATTTTTTCCTCGTTAATTTCGGCGCGAGCGGCGGGGATGTGTTGCACAAAAAACGAGCGAGTCGCTGGGGCAGAAAGGAGGGCGGGAGGAGGGACTCGCCGAGAGGCTGCCGGCACCCGGCTCCGGCTGGCAGCCGGCGCCGGAAAGGCGCCTTTTTTCATATTTAAACCACGCGGAATATGTACATTTTTGATTCCTACTTACGCTTTCAGGGGGTTGTGAATGACAGTCGCCATTTTGCTACAATGTAACAGAATATTGTGTCTCGGAGTTCTAAAGGTTCGCTCAGGGGAAGCGGCCAGCCAATGGCAGCGCGGCATACCGGCCTGCCGGCCAATGGCGCGGCGGGGGCGGGGCCGGGGCGCTGCTAGTTATTAGGGGAGCTGTCAAAGCCCAGAGGTCACTCCCTCTCCCTGGAACTGGCGGCGAGCAGGTCTTAAAGGGGCAGCGCCGCCGCCGGGGCCGCCGCTGCGCCGGGAAGCACCCCGGGCTCCAGCGCGGCACTTCCCTGCCGTGCTCCGGCCCCATCTCGAACGCGCCGCGCCGGAAGGGGGGAAGCCGGGCTCGCTCCTCGTCCCCCCGCACGGCCGCCGCTGCGCCCCCCGTTTCCCAGGCGGCTTGCCCCGCCTGGGTAGAGCCCGCTCGCTCCGCACGCCGCCCGGCAGCGTCCCTCCCGCGCCGCTTCCCTTTCTGCACAGCCGCGCTCCCCGCCAGGTCTCCGTGAGCCGCCGGTTCTGGCAGCGGCTTCAAGGCAGCGCCGCTCCCCCTCCCCCAGGAATTTCCCTCTCCCTGTCAGTCATCCCGGCCCGCAGCCCCTGCGCCCTTACATAACGCGCGGCGGCCGGACCGCCCGGCCGGCCCTGCACAGCCCCGCTCCTCTCTCCCACAGAGCAACTTCTGGCGCGCCGGGAGCCGGGCCCCCGCCTCCGGCCGGCACAGGGAGCCGCGGGGGGAAGAGCCCTGAGCCGCGTTTCACCGGACATGCAGCCCTGCGATGAGACACAGGGCGGAGGCTAGACCCCGAAGCGCGGCAGGGAGCAGCAGGCAGAGCCCATTCCTGGGGAGGCAGCGAACTCCAGGAAGCCTGGGTTTACCTGCAACTAATTAAAGGAACTTGCCAATGAATTATGGAGCATGACCCAAGTGATTTAAGAGGTGTCAATCCCGATCTCACTCTCAGATCCTGATCTCACTCTCAGAAGTAAACTCACTGAAGTTTACGAAATTGCTCCAGTGTAAATTAGGTGCCAACAAGAGCAGAATCAAACAAAGAAGTTTTTTACTCATCTGATAGTAATGTCAGCTTTGTCATCTCATACTTTTCTCCCACTCTCAAAGATCTCCTCTCTCTTCAGGCATCCTCTATCCTTCTAAAAAACACAAACAAGCACCACCAAAACCAAGCCTCCATCCCCATTCTTTGCATCTATACATCCAGAAGAAACTCGAGTAAAGACAATTAAAACACACTACTGTCAAAGACGTAAAAGTGAGGAAACTGGAAAAACATTTTCATTCACAACTTACTGAATAACAGAATGGAAGTACTGATGTTTGTGAGATGGTACCAGAAGCTGAAATAGCAGTCTTTCTGGGCTGAACTTGAAAAAGCAAAGAGAACCAAAATCTCTCTTGCTCCTCAACTACTTTACAAAATAAAACTTCCCAATACTGGGGCAAGAGAGAAAAGGAAGATGAATAGAGAAGAGAAAGAGTATAATTGTTACTCATAGTGAGGACAGGTAAACAAGTGTAATGCAGCAGTTTTCCGTTCAGTAAGGATTCATCACAAGTTTGCAAAAAGTTAAAACTTAGAACCTGTCTAGGGTCCCTCTTTCCAAAACTTTGCCTATTCCAGCTACTCGGTCAACTCCAGCTACTAGGTACTGTGCCAGGCATATATCCCTGGAGGGAAGCATGTCTTCCATCAAAGCAATCTAAGCCATTTGGTTACAGGCACTGCTTAGGAGAAATAAGCTTTCTGTTAGCTGGAGAGTTGCCAAGATGCTGAGATCTATCCCAAAACAGTTCTGGGAAGTAATCTTTACGAACATTTCCATTATCATATTACATTATATTATTTAATATCATAGCAGTCCAGGTGACATTGAATGCAACTTCAGACCTCCCTGCTCAGTACTCTGACTGCCCACAGGAAAGGCTAACCACAAACTGCCGACTTGTCACAAGCACACAGTTGATGTGTGTGCTGCAAAGAAACAAACGGCATAGCGTGCACCTGAACCGGCGACCACGGACTAGCAACCTACACCCCACCTCACTACTCTGAGGATTTCTGGTTCAACTTTTCTTGTTGCTGTGATATTCCCTTAATGGCAAACACTCGAATACTTATGGTAGGATGGACAATATTCACTCGTGGGATAATGATTTTGCTTCACAGATCAGAAAAAAATAGCCTAGGACTGTATCGCACTGCAGAACAGGAGATAGATTTGTGTAACTGAGAGAAGGTACCAAAATCTGGCCAAGCTCTAGAAAGCCCTGAGATTTTCTAATGCAAACTGGTGACATTTTCAGATAATTAAGAAACCCTGTTTGAGGTCATGTTTGGAAGTTTAATGAGTCCCTCTGGTCCTGTTTTGTTGGATATATAGGCCCATTCCTGCTCTGCAGGCAGAGAGCTCTTGGTGCAGCTTGGCAGGGAGTGTATTGCAAAAATGGGATGAAGCCACATATGCTTCCCTGGCTGCTCCTGTTACTCAGACGTTGGGCCTTTATCAGCTACCAGCAAAAGCAACAAACAGCGAGAACAGACACAGATGACCTTGGATTGTTGATAGCCCTTTTCCCAGGCAGACCCCACGTTCCTGGCTAGGAGAACCAGTCAGCAGCATTGCCTCGCTCAAAGGAATCTCCAGGACACCCAAGGACACAGCTGCCATATCAGAGCAGTGGGAAGTCTCACCCGCAGTAACAAAGACACCAAGCTTTGCTCACACGTCTGTATAATTCGTCCACAGTGTTGTTCATGTAGAATCCCACAACAGTTAGATCACCATTTTAGCTGAAAGAACAGGCACAGAGCACTGACTGGCATTTTGCTTGTAATGAACTACAGAACTCGTTTACATGTTCACTATTTGCAAGCAGGGGGAACATCACAAACCTGTATAATAAAAATTTCATGCCGCACCATAGTTACCTCCATTTTCACATATACACCAGTTCGTTGTTGGTAGATCATTTTTTACTTAAATTTTAGAATTTTTTTTTCTGATTTTAGTGTACCATAAGTCACTAATCAGTAATGTTACTATTGTTTTACATCCTGAAGGACCAACAAAGCTGAAACACACTCAGTTACATATATATAACAACTTCAGGATTAGCTACTGATAGTTTTATTCACACTCATCTGAAGCATAGCAAGGAGGCAGCAAGAAAGTATAAATAATTTAAAAGTATATGGCATAAAAAACCTTAGGTGGGCATATTCTTAGCAAGACCTTGCCAAATGTTTGGACAGCCAGCACATAAATTTTGAAAATAGAAGGTAAGTTTGGACACAAATCTATTGGGGTAACATCTATAGCACTGACACAAGGCCTAAGCATGCTGCATCTATAGGGCCAGAGAGAGCAGGGCTTTAGAACAGAGTCCACCTCACCACCAGCCCCTCACACAGAACTGCAGCTTGTCTCTGCTCAAGAAGAAGAAACACAGTGTCATATCTTCTCAGCGTATTGGGAAGTGTCATGTCTCATGGATCATAATGCTGCTCTCCTGATCCACCTCTGTTTCAAACATTTTTACTATTTATGTAACACAAGCACATTGATACTTTTTGTGAAGTCTCATTAATATTCCTATGAAAAGCCCTGAAAAGCCTTATTTTAGCTGACAATATTTCAAACTGTGAAAGACTTTTTTACCTTGTATTTATTATCTTCTGTTTTCCTTTTTATCTTGTTAAGTTTCAACGTAGAGTTGCTGTTTTCTGGAGGGAAGGAAAGTCAGGTTCTTATCATACATTCCTCAACTCTTGTGAATTGGAAAGTGAAACAAACTAGACACCCACATTAAAAGCCACAAATCTAATTTTGCTATGGAGGGAAACAAAAAACAGAGGTGAAAAATAAGTAGTTTCTGGTAGATTAGCAACTGTTTAATATTCTCAGATATTTCCAGTAATTTATAATTTTCTTTTCTTAATATATATTAGTATTCAAAGTATCAGTCATATAGGTCTAAATAAGACAGTGTGCTGTAATGTAGCTTGCTACAGCAAAACAGGGCCCCACATTCACAGATATCCTGCAAGAGATTTGAAGCCTTAACCCCTTTTTATTTATTAAAGCTGTGCAGGCATCTCTCATACACTGTTTCTTGTCAGCCCTCCTCCTCCCTTTCTTTGATCTTCACCAATAGTTGCTTAGCTGGAAGAGGAGGAAAAGATATCAGAGTGTCAGTGTTACAGACTCAACACCAGCCTTCTACAGACACATCCCCCAAAAAATTTACGTGGTCAGCATAACAAAGATAACTATGGAGCTAGACAGTGTAAAACATTAGCACCAACAATTCATTCTACACAACTTTGGGAATTATATCCATGAAAGGGACCTCAAATTTTTAGCTTTTTTTTAAAGCTAAATTTCCCCTCTAAACCTACACCAATAATTCTTGGATGTCTTTAGTGCATCTTGATTTCAGGCCTGATTCTGTTACCCAATTTTCTTTATTGTATGCACCGTTCAGTTTTTTATCAAGTACCCCTGAATTACCTGTATGCTGATGTCTGGACTTAAATCCTTTATTTTTGAATGGGATGTTCCGATAAAATACGTTTTAACACTAAAGAAGAGTCTCTACTAGTAAGACATACATGGAGGCCTCAATCTGAAGCCTTCAAAAATTTGGGGAGACAGAAGTTATGTAAGTTCCCAGAGCCTGGCTCAAGTCTGTTCCCAGTTTAACAAACTGCTGAAAATCTATTTAATGTGGCTGCCAGAAGATTCTTTGTCATGCATTGTTTTTAAATTTCCCCAACAATAGAAAATACTGTTATGAACAAGCTGCTTCGAAAGGAGAATATGAGTCTTTCTGGTAGCCACTGCAAACCCACAGTAATAGTAAGAAAAGTAATCTAATAAAACAGACACATCCTCTGAAGAACACACATCCAGCAACTACGGTTGCCCTCTCCTTGAGGGGAGTAATTTGTAAAATTTAGATGGGACAAAACTGAATTCCTATCAAGAAGCACATGATAGAAAGCACCTAAGAACAACTTGTCAAAGTTTATTATGAAATTCCAACAGAGACACAGGTCTGTCTGCCTTATTTCTTGAGAAAATAGTTGGAGAAAAAATAATAAAGGAAAATAAAATAATAAAGAAAAAAAGAAGAATAAATTAAAAATTAAATAATAAAGAAAAGTGAGTAATTTTCACTCTTTCCTTCATTAAAGGTAGGAAAAAATGTTTTTACATTACAGCCCTCAATGGGATACAGAGGTGCTACCTTGATGCATCTGAAATAATGCTGTCTCCATCCTCTTATTCCCAGAGCAAAGATAAAAGGGAGTTTTGAAGGTGTCTTAAACCTTGAAGGGAGCAGGTGGTATAGATTAGGGAACAATCAATAGATGAGAAGACCCTCCCTAGAAAAGTTCCTCATTGCTACTCTGAATGGAGTTCAGGGGTACTGTCTACCTATGTTTTTAACCACCTTTAAACAAAAACTGCAAACGTGGTCCCAAAGGTGATACAACATTACTTCCTCTTGCCCATGATGAGAAAATGTAATGTAATACCTTGCTAATCAATCTTATCTCTTACAAGCCCAGTGCACACAATAGAATTATGAGTCTAAGACAGGTTTAACATTTGGATTGAGCATAATGAGCAGCACCCTACCTGAGAAAATTAACAGCTGAGAAAAACAAACTGCCACACTCATCCAAAGAAATGCTAACTTTGAATCTGCTGCTGATTTGAACTGCTTCACATTTCCTTCCTTACTGATGACACCACCTCAAGGAAAGGAATGAGTATTCTGCTGTGACTATTTGTTTAATCCACTTTGATGATTTTTTTAATAGAGTAGGCACAAGTGAGCTGTCCAGACACAGCTTAAATGTAATGACTGCAATTGTTTTCTTTCAGTATTCAAGCTTTCTTGTTTACACAGTGCATTTTGGTCTTTGGAACAAACACTATGATAAGTAGGCTGCTTTTGCAGCACGTGCAGGAGTTATACAGCTAATAACAAAAGCAGTCTTTTTAACTACACAGAAAATTAGATTTAGCATGAAAATATCTCACTTGCTAATTTTTTTTAGTTCAACATTATTTGTGAAATGCTATTAATATCAAGGAGTTTTTAAAATAACTTTCATAACACCTTCAATGGTTTTTCCCCCTCTTCCATATAAATACAAAAAATTATAGTATTGAATTCTTTCTTTTTTTTTCTTTGCTTGTATTTTGTTCCATTATTTCCAAAACAATCTGTAACTTAAAATATTTTTCACTTTGTAAGCATTTAAAGTAAGAAAAATAAAATCTCATGTTTTAAAATAAGAAAAAATCTGATGGGTGGTTGCACTGGAGAGAAAAACATCCACATAAACAGCAGTTTAGAATTAGTGAGGGGGTAAGAAGTCACTAGCTCATTTTATTGCATTGATTGGCCAAAAAACAGAGGAAATGGTAGGAAGGGGGACATAAGATTATTTTAGCTATGTCTTAAATCCTGCTAAATAGAAACACCTTCAAGAGTGTCACAAAACTGTTCTTCCATTTCCCATCCAACTTTACCTTGGTAGAGGGGAGAAACAGCAGAAAGTTGTGGACTGACCTGCCTAAAATACCAGTTTAGGTCAACTTTAAAAGTTGATGACTGCAAATTTCAGTGAACAAATACAGTACTGGTATAACATAAAATGATCCTGGGAACCGATCAGTCAATTGTTGCAGTCAATGTCACAATGAAGCCAGCCCTGATTTACTTGCTCCCAAGTCTCCCCAGCTGGAGCCTGTGGAAGTAATCTGATATAAACTTCCCCAAGCCAAACAAAGTCTCTGTTCAGAATTCAGAATAATTTTGCTGATACTTTTTAACTGAGATAACCATATTGGTAACGTCCTTTACATAAAACCAGCACTGCCATAGGCAATGTGTTATTTGTTGGGCTTTTTTGTTTGCTCTTGTTTTTTAAGCAAAGGTAGATCAGCTTTGCTGTCAGGACACCTCCTCAAATGCAGTAGCCACATCTGCAACAGGAAGCTCTGCCACACAAGTCTTGCTCCAGCCACTCTCCTCACACATCCAAGCCCTTGTGTCAAGTCTTCTACTTGCTCAGGCTTTTGCTAGAGTTGACAGGCCTTTGCTGACACTGGGACTCTGTGCTGCCTCAGCAGAAAGCACCTAAGAAGAACTTGTCCAAGTTTATTATGAAATCCCAAGTGACATAAAAGGCTGATGGGATACTGCTTGATGCAAGGCCTGGACGTTTGCTCCCACTGATGATGCTTATTAGGCTATTTGTAAGACTACCCTATGGAATCCATGTGCCATTCCAAGAAAGACTCCTAGTGCAGGATTTACCAGGCATCTATATAGACATAGGGACAGATTCTCATCTTTCATGTGTATTTCTGATATGGGCCAGTTTCCAGTGTGCCCAGATAGGCTATAGAGGCTCCAGCTTCCTACCCAGTATGCCCATGAACCACACACTCTTTCCCTCACAGTGCTACAAGCAGCACTCACAGATACATATTAAACCCATCTTCAGATCCCAGGCTGACAGGACAGGAAGGATTCCTACCCAGGAGCTGAGAGTGGAATACAAGCCTGAACACAACATCATCACATAAAACTCCATCAGACCAAGTGTGCCACATGCAGAAAATTCAAGTTCCCTGCTTCGCTATTCCTTCCAGAGCCTGCTTGTGATGGGGCTTTTCTTGTTGGTTCAACAGCCACCCAGGAGTGTGCCAGCTTGTACATTTGAGAAAAGAAGGCACAAGCATCTTCAGCATCAGAAAAAAAAAACCACCAAAGAAACCTGTGAAAGGAAACCTTACAGCACTTAGAATATTTTCACACCTGACATGCCCAGGAATGATCAAGCATTACAGTTTTTAAACTGGTCAAAACTTTGTAAAGCTGTGTGTAAGATCAGTCACCTACTAAGAACAGCATCTTATATATCTTGAATTCTGCACTCCCTTGCAAAACCCAAAGGGCTTGCTGATCTCACATGCAGCAGAATGTTTCCTCTCATCTGGTGTCTATGGCTAAAGTCCTTATGCAATATTATTTAAAAGCACTAGAACAAGACTGATAGAATAAAAGCATCTACAAAGAATACTGCAGTTGCTGCTCCAACGGTCCAGCTTGCAGAAAGCAGAACAGCTTACCAAATTATTATCTTAGGGAGGATTCTCCCTGCTTGGCTCCTGCAAGCATCAGCATCTCACTATAAAGTGCATGCAGTGGGAATTCAGCCTTCAGGAACCCTGTGCAACCAACAGCCACAAAATAAAGCCTTATGATTGATTACCCAGGTTATGACACTTCAGAAATGGTACAGCAAGCATAACTGACCTGCAATCTTTTCCACTCCCCTTTGGTGCTGCAACAGCTTCTTATTCTTTCCAAGCCATTGGCTAGTTCTTCTCCAAGTTCTTTTTATTAAAACCTTTTATCTCCCCACACAGTAACAATTTCTCCTAGCAATCAAGACCATCCACTCTCATCACTCTTCTAGACAGAGGCATTGGCCAAATCCACTTTGGGAGAAGGGGAAGGATACCACAAACAGTCTGAGTTGTACTTGCATTTGTTATGGGAGAGGTGCTTATTGCTGAAGATCACTCTCATAATCAGACAAGCAATGGTTTCTCTTACTGTATTTATATAATTGGAATACCTCACTAGCAACACTTTTCCCAGCTAAATGCATGCCAACCTCCTGAAATGAATTCA